CAAGTAGAGAACACAAAGGTTGAAAGAAGTAGAAAAACTTTTGTTAGTGTAGTTGAAAGAAATAGCCAGCAAGGGATAACATAAGTGAAGCTATGGTCTGTATAAAAGCCAGGAAATTGCAGTGATTTACCACAAGAGGACTCCTTTATCAGTGCAACAAGTGATGGCTTTAAATCTAGTAAATCATGGTTTGATAAATTTTGCAAAAGAAGCAGTATGCACAGCACTAAGACGTAGGGACACTTCCAGTTCTGACAAGGCTCAGACATAAGCCTCCGTGAAAGAATTCATGGGATTCATGAAGGCAGAAGGTTACATCACTCAGCAGAGTTCAACTCTGATGAAACAGGGCTCTTGTGCCAGCAGATGCTAGAAACAATGGATATCATGCAGGAGAAAAAGGCACTGCTGGGACACAAGCCCATGAAGGACAGATTGACCCTTTTGCTGTGTGTGAACACAAGCACTGATCTGAAGATTAGACAACTACTTGTGTTCTATTCACATACCTTTCAGGCATTCAAGGAACAGAATGTGAACAAGGCAAAACTACTTGTCATGAGGAGGGCCAATGCAAATTTGGGGTCACAAAGCAATTAATTGTTCACAAAACGACTGCATGAGGTACTCTCACTCACTTGTTAAGAAGTAACTTTCTGACAACCAACTACCTGAAAGGTGCTTTCTGCTGATGGGTATCTCCCCAGCATACCTTACAGCCTTAGTGGATGATTCTGACATTGAGTATGACTTCATAAAGGTCAAGTTCCTCCCCTTAAGCATAACACAACACAATACAACACTTTCTTCTGTTACCTAGCCATGATATGCCACTTCAAGTAGTTGTACCCAAAGGTCCTCTTTGCCAGGTGTTTTTTTTTGCGTATACGTGTGTGTGTGTGTGTGTGTGTGTGTGTGTGTGGAATTGGGGATTGAACTCAGCCCCTTGTGCTTGCCAGGCAAATGTTTATTCTACGGAGCTATCTCCCCGGCCCCCTGCCAGGTGTTTTAATGTTACTGAAAAGATGTCCTTGACTCTGCAAGAGTTCTGGAAGAAACATTTCCCTGTCCTCCACTGCATCAACGTCATTGACAAAACCTGTAAAGATGTCACATATCAGACCTTAAACTCAGCCTGGAGGAAACTGTGGCAATAATGTGTCACTGAACATTACTTTGAAGGGTCTGATGCATAGGTAGTGGAGGAGACTGTCCGTGGGCAAGAGTAGGGGCCTGGACATGGATGTTGCAGACATGGAGGAGCTTGTCGAGGACCAGGAGGAGGAACTGACAATGGAAGAACTCACTGAGCTCCAGGGTGAGCAGCAGAAGGTGCTTGTTGAGCATCCACTGAGGAAGAGGAAGACAGGGAAGAGGTTAGCAGGGACGTGATAAGATCCATTATGGAATCATGAAATGAGTGCCAGGATTTCTTTGAGGAGCACCACCCCAACATAACTGTAATGAACAGAGTGTTGAATCTGATGAACAGTAACATGATCTCTCACTTCTACAGGGTTATGCTGTGCAGCAAAAAGCCAAATGACATTAGATAGATTTTCTTTTCAAAATTGACCCTGCAGTTAACAGACAGAGGATAGGAAACCCCGGAAGGAGGAAGACCTGATATCCTTATGAAGAAGAACTATCCTTCCAAATAATAACTTCCTCCCCACCCACCTTCTACACACCAGAAGTCACCTCAAGCAAGGTTAGTATTCTTTCTCTTCGTACTGTACAGTACTGTACTTTGTTTCATATTTTGTGGTTAAAAATACATATGGTTCAGAATGAATTAACCTTATTTACATTAAGCCTTATGGGGGAAATTTAATATAGTTCCTGCCTAATTCTGCTTGTCACCAGAACTGTAGAATAAATTAAGTTCATGAACTGAGGCACCACTGTATCTGATCCAGCATGAAAATAGGAAGCTAATTGCATTCCTGAAATGGTTTCCTTAACTGCTATAATCCACTCTAGGTCTTCTTGTCCTCTGCAGAGACGGAAGCCACCAGAATCTTGAAGAAATGGAAATAATCTCATAGATATGAAAAACATTTTATAATTTCCATGTATTCAATATATTCATACCCATTGTCCCATTTGATTTTCAGCATAATAGAATGAAGTAAAAACAGTAGGTTTACCCACTGCTGGCAAGAGAGAAAAAAATCCAAGGCATAGTATTGCATGCCTATAATTCTAGCACTTGGGAAGATGAGGTGGGAACATCGTTATGAGTTCAAGGTCAGCCTGGACTTTATAGCAAGAACCTACTTCAAAAAAACAAATAAATAAAAGCCCAAGGCTTAGAAAGGTGAATTGCAATTAAATATTTTAAAATAATTTTTCATTTTATTAGTACATGTTTGCTCTACATAATGTTTATATTCATGTGGGGGAGTTGTTGTATGTACATAACAGATCTTCATTCTTATCTTTATGCCTTTCCCCTTCTCTCCCTTCTGCCACTCCATCTCTTGGTTCCCTTTCCTTTTTTATTAGTGCATGTTTGTAGAACATAATGATTACTTTTCTTGTGTGTAGTTGGTACATGTCTATATGTACATAACACATCTTAATTAGGTTTTCATGCTCTTCCCCTCTCCTCTGTCTCATCTTCCTTCACCCCTTGATCCCCTTCTTATTTACAAACAAATATTTTCTCTTTTTTTTTTCTTTTTCTATTTTTTTGCGGAACCGGGGATTGAACTCAGGCCCTTGCGCATGCCAGGCAAGCACTTATTCTACTGAGCTATCTCCCCAACCCCACAAACAAATATTTTCTATTATATATCTTTAATTTTGCTCTTCATTTATACTTTGGGTTTCTCAAAAAAGAGAAATAATGTAATATTTAAGCCTGCATACTTGGTTTATTTCATTTAATGTTATGTTGCCAGGGTACATTCATTTTACTACAGATGAATCAAGTTCACCCTTCTCTGTAGTGGAGGAGTACTCTATTGTGTGTAAATACCACAGTTTCTTTACCTTTTCATCTGTTGATAGACAGCTCCCAAGATTTAGCTATTATGAACTGTGCTGCTATAAACATGGGTACACATACACAACTGTGATATGATGTCTTTAACTGTTTTGAGAAGATACCTACAAGGGAAATGGATGGATTACATGGAATTTCTCTTTTTAGTTCTTTGAGGAATCTCCATACTGATTTCTGTAGTGGTTGTACTAGTTTATACTCCTACTAACAATGCACAAAGGTTTCTTTCTCCCCAATGCCTCATCATTTGTTATTCATTTCTTGATAACCATTGTTTCTATAGTAAGATGAAATTTCAATGCTGTTTTAATTTGCATTTCCTTAATGGCCAGAAATGTAGAACATTTTTTCATGTACTTATTGTCCATTTGTACTCCTGAGAAGTGTCTATTCAATTGTCTATTTTTTGATTGGGTCCATTATTTTAGGAGGTGTAACTTTCATAAGTTCTTTGTACATTCTCAACATTAGTCCTGTGTGAGGGGCTGTGAGATAGCTCAGCAGACTAAGTGACTGCTTAGGCAAGCATAGAGACTGGGATTTGATTCCCATCACCACATGCTGTGTTGGCCCTGCCCCTAGGCATGCTGAGCCAGCCATGGAGACTGGGTATGGTGGCACACACAACTGTAATCCCAGTGCTGGGGAGGTTGAAAATAAGAGGAACACTATGAGTCTAGGCTTCATAGTGAGAACCTGTACAAAATACACTAAAAAAAATTAGTCCTGTGTGTCAGGAATAGCTGGCAAAGAGATTTCCTAATATGCAGATTGTCCCTCCAATTCTTTTGCTGTTTCCTTTTGTTGGACAGAAGCTTTAGTTATTTTTATTTATTTACATTTAGTTTTAGTTTTAAAAGAGAGTATAAAATAGTATTAAAACAGAAAAAAATTATAAGTGATACAGAATTTCACTTAACAAAATAATAAAGGGCTGGGGAAATGACTCAGTGGAATAAGCACTTCCCTGGCAAGTGCAAGGGCCTGAGTTCAATCCCTGGTTCCGCAAAAAAATAAATAAATAAATAAATAAAATATGAATTTCACAGTATTTGTTGTAATAGTGTCATCTTACAACCAGTTTTTTTTTAGATTAAAAATCTTTTATTTTTACATGTTTAGATAGCATAAAACAAAAATCAGGACAAATGTCATTGGCATTTTTTGCAGGGAGTAATCAATAACATTGTAACAGGAAAACATTCTAAGGCTGTCCCCAAGTAGCTAGGCTACAGGTTAAGATTCAAGGGCCGAAATTAAATGTTATCCCACTTAATCTGCACACGAAAGGAGTCCAAGGTTTATCCTGCATAATATAAGGATTTTCACATTTAACATTAGTGATTTGTTTTTCAGAAAGTGATGCAACTTTTAGTTTTCTACTACACAATGACTAAAAAAATCTCAACTAGAAGCAGCTATATGTTATACAGCTCAGTAAGTATCAGTAAACCATTCTGGGCTAGTGTACATTTCAATTTAATACAGAACTACATTTAGGGCTTTAGAAAGGCAGCAGTAATTATATTTTGGCTTTTATTCTAGATGCTTAACATAGTTAAGGCGACAGTCAAGCATATTAAATCTCTTACAACCTGCACACACTGTATAATGCTTATGTGGAATGAAACCAGTATAACAATTGGTGTTTTACAGAGAACATAGAAACATTGTAGGCAACCATACTAAACAGACTATGGTAACATGTAGAGTGCAAATATACTGCAGAACTAAAGTCATCTGAACAGCACTATATGCATTACCAAAGCAAACGTGACTGGTTCTCACGCAAAGCCAGGCCTGCATCCATCACCCTAAGCAGAGTTTATAAAGCATCGGGTTTCCAGGACAGAAACCCTTCTAGGAAAGTCAGTACATCTTCTGAGTGTTTCATACATGTAAAACCAGGATAAGGCTATAGCTATCTTGATCTCTGAAGACAGTATCAGATAAAACCATCAGGATTCTCAGCCATGATGAGACAGGAAGGTCCTCATGCAGCATGTGTTCCCTGCTCCAGGAAAGCTCCAGGGACGGGATGCAAAGGTGCCAAAGAGGGAAACCGGAGAAGTTCAGCTGCATCTCTGTCGTACTATGTACTTCTAAACCTCAGGAATGGTGTGATCCATCAGGCTTTTCATAATGCTTCGTGCCATCCGTTTAATAATATGTTCAAAGATAAAAGCAGGCATAATTGTTATGGTGACTATAGTCCCAGACGTTGAAAGTATGTCTGCTATTTGAGAATCCTTCAACCCAATGACATTCTGGCCGTTGATTTCGCAAATGTTATGTTCAGTCAGAAGACCATTTCTGGCAGCAGAACTGTCTTTCACTATGGATGTTATTTTTCCATTTTTGAAAATAAAACCGACATGTCCAGTACTATGCTTGTGCATGGTAATTGTCCGTTCAAAGGTCATGGTAATCTTTCCGAAAGCCTGTTTGAGCACTTTGTGTGCTTTGTCCGAACTCCAGCCCGCACAGTTCTCACCATTGATCTGGAGGACTTGATCCCCAAATCTCAGACCAACCAGAGAGGCTGAAGAATTTGCCTGAACGAGCTGAACAAATATACCATTGTCTACCGATTTAAGCCTGAGCCCAATTTTTCCATCTTGATCCTTACACAAAATGACTTCACGAATCCCTTGTTTTATTTCTGCTCTACAAATTCCAACATCGTTCCCTGTTACAGGAGCCACCATATAGTTCATGCTGGAAGGTCTTGCTACCAACTGCCCCTGCACTGGCGCTCCAGGGACCATGGCACACACTTCTTCTTCATTTAAACTTAAGCCCATGTACTGAGAAAGCTCTGGATACAGCTTGGGATAGAGATTTCCATCTTGGGAAATGGGGGCAGAAGCTTCCAACAGAACTGCTGGGTTGGCAGGGTTTGCAGAAAAGGCAGTCTGAGCCTGTATTACTTTGTCTACCTTCAAATCTTCAAGAGATGGATAGAGAGACATTTCTGCAGGATTTTTCTGCGGGGCGCAGGCTGAGGCGGCGCCGCTCCCGTGAACTTCCTCGCGGCCCGGAGGGGGGGAAGGAAGGGGGCGTCCCGCCGGAAAACCCCGCTCGGACTGCGCGCTCTCCGCCGAGGCCCGGTCCCCGCGCCGTCGACCCGGCGGGGAGCGCAGAAGCGTCCCTTCCCTCCTTCTCTCCCTCCCTCCCGAGGGCTAACCTCCGCGCGGGTCGCTCGCCGCTGCCGCCTACAACCAGTTTTTCATATAGTTTTTTTTTTTGGCAGAACTGGAGATTGAACTCAGACCCTTGCACTTGCCAGGCAAGCACATATTCCACTGAGCCATCTCCCCGGCCCCAACTTTTGCATATTAACAGATATATGCATGTAAAATTTTAAGAAGAAAGGAAAAAGAAGTATATAAGGAATTAAGGAAGGAAAAAAATACAAAAAATTGAAAAAATAAGGCAAAAAAATTAAGTATTATCTACTCGTTTCCATCAACCAGCAGAAATGTACAGTACAGTTGTCCAAACTACCCGGCTTATATGCATAGATATATCTCTTTCCCCCACTCCCTCTCCTGTCCTCCTCTCCTCAGTAACTCTTTCCTTTTGAATAAGTGCATTCTCTTTTCCCAGTATATCCTTAAGATTCCATTTTTTCTTTCAGATTCTCACATTAAGGAGACAACATGGTGTTTGTACATGCAGGTCTGATTTATTTCACTTAAAGAGTATGTTCTCTAGTTGCATCCATTTACCAACAAAACCTCAAATTTATCTTATTTTGTAGATGAATAATATGCCATTGTATAAAAATTCCACGTGTTCTTTATCCAATTTTCAGTTGATGGGCATCTGGGATGTTTCCAGGATTTAGATATGAAAAATTACACTGCTATAAACATGGGTGCACATATATCGTTGTGGTATGAGTTTTCAGTTCCTCTGGAAAAATATCCAGGAAGACAATAGCTGGCTTGAATGGGAACTCCAATCCTAGCTTTAAAGGAATATCCACACTGATTTCCATAGTGCTTGTACCAGTCTGCACTCCCACCAACAGTGCAAAAAGGTTTGTTTTTCCCCACAGCCCCTCTAGCATTTGTTATTGGCTGACCTCTAGATGATAGTCATTCTTTCTGAGGTGAGATGGAATCTCAGTGTTGTTTTAATTTACATTTCACAAATGCCCAATGATGTTGAACATTTACTTGCCATTTCTATTCTTTCTCTGAGAAGTGTATATTCATCTCAGATGCCCATTTTTGGATTAGGTCTTCAAATTTGGGGGCCTGTTTGTTTTTAATTCTTTATATATGTTCTAGATAAAAGACCTCTTTCAGAAGGGACAGTC